CTCCCTGGAATTACGCCTACATTTTTGAAAACACTCTGTACGTCATATTGTCTCCGCAAAGCAAATACATAATATATATATAATATATATAATAATATAATAATAATATTATATATATAATATATATATTAATAATATATTATAATATAATATAATATTATATATATTATTATATTTAATATATATATTATATATACGTTTTTTATTTAGAAATGCGTAAAAAATGTCAAACAAACGTTATACTGTTCGGCAAAATAAATAAACTTGTGTTTTCTTTTCGCCCAATTATGGAAAGACAAATTCAACTAGCTGTAAACATGTATATGACGTACTACATATAATGGTGGAAAATATTTTTGAAAAATAAAAAATTTTCAAGTTCGATGAGACACGAGTTTCCATTGTCCGTTCGATCTAAAAGTGTCACAATCGTAGCAGGTGTCTCGGAAAAATCGTTGATCGAAAAATGATGTTCACTCTAAATGAGGATACATGAATTTGAAAGAATTTATAATTTATAACATAATAGACAAAAGCATGAAAATATAGTTCGCCGAATAATATCTGTATCCTTACAAAAATTTAGTAAAACAGAATAATAGCACACGCATACGTACATACTGCGAGATAAAAGAGAACTGATATGTATACTTACGTTTACGTTCTTTTTACGTTGCTTTATAAAAATGTTATCGTTCAAAATTGTGCCCTCCTGTCAGAGTAGAATATCTCTGAATATCGTACAAGAGTTTATCATACACAATGCGTAACTCTACGCTATGCAAAGATGACTAACTGCGAATAGAAACTGCATGCAACAATAAATAATGTACGGCAGTGATGTTCACGGTAGGGGCGGCTCGCGTTGCACATTATTTGAAAACAGCGATTTAGCCGTGAAAAATCCATGTTATTAATATCTGATGTCATTAGGTTCGTGAAACTTCCAATATTCATTTATACTATGATTTGTCTGGAAAAATTGTTCAAATAGGATAATTTTGACTGAGAAGTTCGAAGGTTTTTTTACTCCTAGAAATCTTCTTCTGCGAAGTATATTTCTCTTTTTAAAAGTTAATGACTTTTGCACAAGAAGGTAGGTAAAGATGATTCATAAAAATCTACAGGAATTTTAAATACACTTCATTACAGAGCACCAATTTCAGTATGCAGTTATCGCAAGTTTTTGGAATAGAAGTTATCGCATCCCTGCGCATCCGTCAAAATAAAACCACTAGTCCGTAATTTTGATTTAGTTCTTTGATTTATGTGAAAATTAGCTGCTAGTTTTCGCAAGTTTTTTGATAATGTAATTTACAATCCTTGGGATTGTCTAATATCGTGGCCTACGGACGAGCTTCGGCGGACCGGCCTGATGGCCATGTGCGACTCATTATCTGATTTTTCACCTGTTTTTTAAAGGCCGTTATCTCATGTTTTCGTGGAATTTTATTATATATATATATATAATATATATAATATATATATAATAATAATAATTATATATATATGTATAATATTATATATTTTTTCTTTTGAACAATATACGTACGTTCTTTAACGTTGTCTTTAATATTTCATATGTTAAGAATCGGTTTTGCTAATGCTTTTATATAAATAAAATAAGTTACTTGCTGGGTATAATGAATAAGTATGGTCTAAAGCACGTCGTATTTGGTATCATTTTAATTAAACAAATCTGACCAATATGTTAACAAATTTTTCAGATATGAAAAATTAGAAATAAAAAAAGTTAAGTCACCGTTTTTTATTCTAGCATTACAATGTATCTATGTATAATAATGTACACCGGCATGCTGACCGCTGCCTTTCCAAATTTGTATTAGTATTTAAGAATAAGCGACATTTATATATAGTTATCATATCATAGCGTCTATTTCATTTCGCGACTCCAAAAGAACTTGGACAGCCGATTGAGCTGACAAACTTCCCATCCGGTTGTTAGCATTGCGAATTGTTTCGGGCACTACTTTCATGTTATAGTGATTTTCTATTAGTTTATGGATCATAACGAATTGTTTGTAAGATTGCACATTTGTGATTAGCATCTAATTTTTGTGGTCGACCTGTATGTTGTAGATTTAGAATAGGCTTAGTTGTTTCGTATTTCTCAAGAATATATTGTACCGATGAACACGTTCTTTTTATTATTTCAGCTAATTTTCTAATGGATAATCCATCTTTTCTTAGTTTTACAATTAAATTGCGGGTCGCAAATGGTATTTCCATTTCGGCGAGAAATTGTTTTGCGAAAACATCTTTTATCTTTACTGACAGCCAAGCAACTAAATTGTACTTGACCCTAGACTGTTTTCTTGAGAGTTGTTTGTAGAACTGTTAACGCAGCAGATTACATTTTTCTCTGTACGAAGACTTTTTTGATCTCATTTTTGTTATGTTCGTCATTTTCGTCTGCTTATTTGTTAACAAATGGATGTAATATCTTTTACTTTCCTCTAATAATTAACATTAATATGAATGTTATATTTCTGAATATAATAACACAAGAATTATTTATTTATTACTATTTTTTTCAAATTATGCAACTTCAAATACATTCTTTTACAGTGTATAAAATACGATTGAATGTATGAAAACAATGCTCAAATATAATTTTGCTTGGAATAATACATTTTATTTGATTCTGGTTTCATAAAACTTTCACAAAACTTTGTTAAAGATACTGTAAAGATATAGTAAATGGGAGTTTGCTTAACAACATATGTATCCTAACAATAATTGGATAGAAACTGATAGCAGAGGATATCTGTGCCATTTGGATTGCTCATGGATGATCGGATTTCTATAAAGGAAGCAAGGCACTTCACTAATTATGTTTCCAAAATATATGTATAAGCTGTTCACTATTTCTATAAGGCAGCTTGTTCCTTGTTGAGCCTCGCAAGTTAATAACAACCATCCATTTTCAGAGGTACAGATATTATGTACTATCATTACGTCATACAGGTTTTCTATATCATGAAATAGTAATAATCGTGTATTTTGAGGTGTTGAATGTTATGAACTCTTTAAGACATTCCGTTTAACGTGTGTACAATCATTTTCTATAGGCAGTATTGCTTCGTCTTTTACTTATCGTTTAATAATAATAAACAGACCAAAAAATTGCATGTATTCAGACAGTATTATTAAGAGTCAGTTGTTTCGTTAATCTTGAAACATATTCCTTCCACAACTGCTTTTTTGCCAACTTCGTTAGGTGAGAGGCTGGACATATGACTCTAAAGAAATTCATATTGTATGTTAATCATGTTAATCTAATTAAAAAGAATTAAAAGTACTTACTACCGCTGATTGCTCAGTAGAATTCATGTAACCTATTATCATTGAATTAGTTGAATGACTCCATAGAAGATCACCCAGTCCTTCCTGCGGTGAATATCGAAGAGCAATGACACCTCCAAGTTTCTGTTCAAGTCCACACAAAAATTTTGAATCTAGAAAATGAATTAATTCGTTTATTACATAACCAGATGCTCTGGTACTTACATTTAAATATAAATGAAATTTATCACATTAACTGAAAATAGCAAAGTAGTTACGAGATTTCACCGATAAAATTGACTTTCATAGCATGATGTAAACTAGTGGTTGGACAGGAGCTATTTGAAATAGCTTCTGCAATTGTGCGTGCTAATGAAGTACGAATTAGGTGTTCTCCACAGCCAGATGTACTTGTTCCTATTGAGTATTTGTCTTTATATGCCCAAGTACCGCAACCCCATACTCCAGCCTTAAAATTATTTGACAGTATTATATTTAATATTCTTACACAATGTATGCAAATAATCCATATAAACAATAAATTAAAAGAATATAATACTTGTCCTACTCTTCCTGGATATTTTAATATAATACCACCGCTTGAACAGGCAGCAGCAATATTTCCTTCTTTATCAACACATATTGCACCAACTGTATCCATTCTCTTTTTGGCACACTATTAAATTATTATGAAGTTATAACTAAAATAAATAAGCAAACATACAATGTTAAAAATGGTTTACCTTTTGAATTTCCTGATCTGAATCCTCTACTTTCCTTTTGTAATGTTTATATATCTTTTGGGCTTTCACTAAAAATTATAATATCGTGAATATACATTTGTCAATGTGCTGTTATATTAGGTTTACTGGAAAGTATATAGTGTATATAGTGACTCCTATTAATATTCGGATACTTTTTAAAACACAATAATTTTTTTAAAGCTAGAATAAACGATTTGAATTTTTGTTAGATCATAAAGAGACTGGTATACTAGACAATGAGTAAACTACTTTATTACAATTTTGCTATTACTTGGAACGACAAAACAAAATAAAAGTCTCTCGTTTTTTGACTTTGTTATCCGAGCCTATAACGAAAATTTAAAAAATGTGTTTTGTAGATCTCGTTAAGTTATATGCATGCTGCAAATTTCAATTACTGTAATGAAAAATTTTAGTTGAATGAATTTGCAAATATTTAAAAACAAAAGTAATAATGTGCTTTATACTTGAAATTAGCTGTTCTGGAGGTAAAGTTTGAATCCCCATTTCTTGTGCCCATACGTGTGCTCCATTCCCAACTAGAAAGCTAATAATTTTGTTTTATTATCATAAATTGTATTGGGATTTCAATTTAACAAATTTACCTTGGTGGAATTCTGCCATATGCAATTTTAATTGACTGTTGTTCACAAAGACGTTTTGCTAACAACACAGGATTTTTTATTCCACTAACTGCACCGACTGCTCCGAACTGTAATGTTGTGCCATCCATCACACTGGCATCGCATTCAACAGTTCCTTCTAAAGTAAGATTAGAACCAAATCCAGCATTTGTTAGAGGTGAATTCTCTAATATCATTATAGTTTCTACTATTGCATCCAATGTATTGCCACCATTCTTTAAATTTTGAATACCCTTTGAAAATATACATCTTCCATTAAATACAAACAAACATAATTGTATGTAGAATCAATAAAACTTACAGTTTCACAGGCTAGGCGGCATAACTTTTGATATTTTTCCTTAAGAGCATTTGAATGCTTTCCTGCACCTAATGTTACATACAAACAATGTTCACTATATAATTAAATTGTTGAATTGGCTTAACGTTAAACATACTGATAAGTGTTATACGAGAAAACATACCTACGTGGACAGCAATAAACCCTTGTTTGACAATACTCATTACATCTATTTAGTTTTTATATTGTTATAGATTTCCAATTTGTACTTCCGTGCGAGTGATATTGATAAAAGTTTAATATAAAATAATATAAAATAAAAAATTTTAAACTTCTTTATTGAACACAGATAATATTGTGGTACTTAATTATCTAAGTCAATATTTTCCTATTCGATGTTTTAATAGTGTACAATTTGTTTATACGATAATCGTATATTGCTCTGTACATAATAAAGTGTATAAACATACAGTCAACTGTAGGTAGGCTATGCACTTAATATGTACGATGACAGCGACAATGACAGTGACACCGGTCGGCCGGTTTCTAAGTTAGGGAACCGAAAACGACTATCCACCAAGTGATCCGACTATTGTTGGGATCCATAAACATTTTATTAAATTACATTGTTTTGTCATTATTAAATTATGTACAGTTTATTAATATTTATATACATATTTATATATATATATATATATATATATATATATATAT